AATTTACTAAGCGTCATGATCCCTTTCCTCATTTGGTATGCTCACAAATAGACCTACTGCTTGGGGGAATAAGTGTGCTCATGGCAATATTTGTTTTGAGCTCCTGTGTCTGCCGCTTATTTAAATGTGCCACCTTGGTTTGTTTTATGGGCAGTGAATATGTAAACTCCCTGTGTGGCATCCTCATCTTAGAAGCGCCTGTAGTATTTAAAAGTAAATTAGAATCATGCCTACCAGACAGGGAAAGGCAAATAGTGCAACTGACCAACATTAATTATTGTAACCGACAATACGTTTGAAATGTTGAGATATTTTGTTATTCACTTAACTTATGGCAGAATAAACCAAAACAGCTGTATTTTTAATTCTATACTTTTGTTTATTTGTTTTTTTTGTTTGTTTTTTCAGAAGGAGCAGAAAAATAAGAAGGCTGGCTGCAGAGCTCTAACGCAAAGTATGAATCAAAAACATTCAAACATACTAAGAAAAACAAAGCAAAGAATCACAGAGCCCTGATGGATTTAAACAGCAATTCAAAAAGGAATGAAGAATAACACAAACCCCGCTTTCATCAATGAGTGGAGCTAAAGTAAGCAAGGATAATTGGCCGTAATTAGATTTATATTTAATCAAGTGTGCTGTCTCTTTTCTAAGCTGAGATGTTGGAAAAAGAAGACTGAAAGGTAAACCAATGAGATCAGTTTGGAAATGAAAGATGTTGCCAAACAAATGCAGCTTAAAAGGCCTAACTGCTTTATATTTTTTTCCTCTAGTCAATACTTTCAAACTTTCATTTAAAAAAATATTTTTTTTTTACTCAGTTATGTGCTCCAGAGGCTGCACAATGCTGCAGTGGGTAGCAAAGCCACCTTGAAGCAAGAAGGTTCCTGGTCTGATATCTGGCCCGGGGTCTTTGGGGCGACAGTGGCGTCGGATGTAGGAGTTTGCCCTGAAATCGAAGGATTGATGGTTAAGGCCCCGGCTCTGACTTTCAGTGTCATTGTGTCCTTGGGCAAGACACCTCACCTGTGTTATCTACTGATGTTGACTGAATGACTGAATCTAGTGTCAAGTCTCCTGACTTGAAAAAGCGCTATATAAGTACAAGCCATTTAACATGTTCTCCCTGTGCATGCGTGGGTTCTCTCCGGGTACTCCGGCTTCCTCCCACAGTCCAAAGACATGACTGTTGAATTAATTAGCTTACTTAGGTGTAAGTTTGTGTGTGAATGTTTGTTAGTCCTGTTTGTCTCTGTGTTGCCCAGCGACCTGTCCAGGGTGTACCCCGCCTCTCACTCATTGACAGCTGGAGAAAAGCACCAGCAGGGATGGAAGAAGGATGGACTTTCCCCAGCTTTGAAATTATGTTATACAATCATTTTATTATACTGTGACTTATTATCTACCTTTATGCAGCAAACATATGCATATAAATTACAAGGTTTGTAAATGTATACATGCGCTAATGAAGGGGAGCAAAGCGAGAAAACATCTACAACCACAGTATTTTATTACAAAATAGGATAATATGAACAAAATGTTAATTCATTCCAATCAAAATTTTATTGACATTTCTAAATTTTATGATTTATTAAAACCCCAACTTCAAATGAATTTAAGGTGACCTGTGAATACCTTGTAATTGGTTGATGGACTGGTGCCCATATGGTTGGCTTTTTTAGAAAGAGGTGTCAGAGGTTGTTCCTGGAATCTGCTGCAACCACTTCCTTGGTTCTGGGGTCAAACCCTGAAGTGCACAGATGACAACTGGCACCATGAGACCTTGAACTGCCCCCATTTCTATTTCCTTCTCATGGAGTCCTTGGTATTTCTGGAGCTTGTCGTGTTCCTTCTTTTTAATGTTGCTATCCCATGGGATTACTAAAGTTGGATATATACTCCAAAAAAATATAGAACTTTTTTCTTATTGTCAGGGCCACTACACCTTCTTTTCTATTCAACTCTTGACAAGAACCCATGTGTAGAACTCCTTGGAAGTCTCCCACTGCTCCACACCCACTTCATATCTTTTAAGCACCGTATAAGAAAAAATCTTCTGCCCAGAATATTTGTGAGTGACATGCAACATGATATCCCAAGCCAGAAAAGAAGAAAGGGAGAGGCAAAAAAGGCTCCTTCAGTCTCAACTAATGGCCTACAGAATAAATGACTTGTTACCACAGAGTAAGACGAGGTAAATTTCCTGTTGGGCAAAACAAATGAGCACTCTCAAGACAAATGAAAGATAAGTCTTGCAAAATTTGCCGATGTTATTGGATACAGAACAATCTTTGAAGCAGTGACCACTGATGGGGCTAATAACTATTTAAAAAGAATGTTGATAAACCCCAGCCATGAGAAGATGTTCAATGCCCGAGAAGTGAAAATGATTTTCAGGAAAGTTGACAAGGGGAGGGTTCATAGAGAGATTTAAGAAGATCTGGAATTAGTAGAAACAACACTTGCATGGAAAACAATATCTAATGGATTATACCACCATGACCTGTATGCTCATTCACCACACTGCTGAGGAAGAAGCATGCTAAAGCACATTTTATAAACTACTTTTAGAAAGCCTATAAAATATTGTCAAAAAATAAGGTATTTGATTGCCTTAATATACACTATGTTGAGGAAGATAAAAGGGATGAACTACACCCCTAAACCACAATCCCAACAGCTAAACTTAAAGGTGGAAACATCATGGAATGGGGCTTGTTTCAGCCATTAACAATATATACCTAGACGCTAATCTACTTCACCGCCATATTGGATGGGTCTCCCAAAGCAGGGAGAGAACAGCTCTCCCTGTATTTTGCGTAGTTTCAGCTGTGATAATCGGTGCAGTATGAAAAGTAGACCACATGAGATTACCTTTTACAAGACACTGCAAAAAATAAAATCTAAATAAGTCATGTCTTCTTAAAATAAGTGCATTTTTTTCAATCCTTAATTCAAGAAAAAACACACTTATTTTAACTTACTTATTTTTTCAAGAAAAAAATGCAGTTATTTTCTCAAAATAAGTGCATTTTTTCTTGAATTAAGGATTGAAGTGAGACACTTTGCCAATGGAACAAGACAATTTACACTTCAAACAAGAAAAAAACAATTGCATTGTCTTATTTCAAGTGCATAATATCTAGGTACCTTATTTTAAGAGTAAAAATACTAATTCCATTGGCAAATCATCTTATTTACCTGCTCAAATTAAGGGTAAATACACTTAATTTTAAACATTTGTACTCATTTTGAGATTGTTTTTGCAGTGAAAGACTTAACAATAATTTAGGACATTTGGCAAACCATAATATCATGTCATCGTAGCTCAGATTATTTGGCAATGGATGAAATACCAACAGCAGGAGCTGGGTCTCTCTCTCTCTCTCCTGCTCCGTCTTGATTCTTTCTTTGTATTTCTCCAGTTTCCCAGTTATATAGAAAATTGTTGGTCATAGGGTTTTTGTTGTTACAGTCTTCTTGTCATACTCCTAGGTCTGGGTGCAGGCTGTTTTTTTCCTTACTCTCTCCTCAGCAAGGCTGGACAGGCAGGTGCTTTTCATCTGAGTTGATTACCGCCCTTCATAAGGAGCTGGAACCAGGAGGAGGGTGTCAGTTCATTAGTGCTTCTGCGTAGTACAGACTGATCCTTTTCCTAGCCTTGCTTCCTCATTTAACCAGATCCTAACCCCACTCTCTGTTTGCTCCTTCATAGAACCCTGGATTCCAAGCCTGAGATGATTCCTCAGAATCACTTCACTCAGAACACTCGCCAGAGACACTCCCAGTCTTCCTCCAGGAATTCATGAGGCCACAGGTCTCTTTTCTGCTTAAAGCCCTTACAGAGATTTCTGTAATACATATGTAAAGGAAGGAAGTTTACATCAAACTTTATCAAATATGTTTTTACCATCTGATCAGAGTCTACAGCAGGATAAGCTGGATGCAAAGAAAAGAGCAAAGAGCCTCATGAGCAGAGGTGTCAAGAAACCAAGTACAAATACTTCGTTACTGTACTCAAGCACACTTTTTAGATATCTCTACTTTACTTCATTACTTATTGTTCTTCCTACTTCTGTATTCTACTCATTACATTTTCACACAAGTATCTGTACTTTCTATTACTTACATTTTTAACACAAACGTTACTCGTTACTCTTTGCTTTGGTTTAATGTTTATAAATATTTACCAATGCAGATCATTGGCACCATCCACATCTAGTGAAAACTAGTGTAATTGGATGAGTCATATAACGCAAACACTGATTAGTTAGCTAAAGGAAATCATCAGAAGCAAGCAGATGTTCTCCAAACTGCAAAAGCGAATTGTCTATGCCATGCTATAATGTCGGATTCAGAAAAAGATGTTGAAATGTCTGAGAGGTCGGACACAGGTGATGGAGAAAAACAAGACCTCCCTCATCCTTGGTCCTATCTCAAAGAATTTTTCGAAATAGTCGCAAAATAGAGCTTTCAATTCATACAGTGGCATCTGGCTGTTGTTTTTTAAAGGTTACTTTATACTTTTATACTTTAAGTAGTTTTTGGAGCACATACTTTTTCACTTTTACTTGAGTAAAGAGGTTAACTTGATACTTCAACTTTTACAAGAGTGTTTTTAAACAGCAGTTTCTATACATCTACTTAAGTAACAAATGTGTGTAATTTTGACACCACTGCTCATAAAGGATCTTAAGTGAAAGATTTTTTTTATCTCTCTCTCTATATATATATATATAGACAGACATATATGTAGTTAATGAATACTTGTTCCTCTGCATTTTCCAGTATGAGCAATTGCCATTTATTTTAACTATACTGTATGTTTAGCCTACAAAAGTTCTCATGTTGAGCTGCTCTTTTGAACAATTCACTCTGAAACAGGTATAATCCACGGTATTGTGTGAAGATGTTGTTTAGTGGGAGGAGCTTTGTATCGATCAAAAACAGACTGGGAGGCGCGCAGCAGTAAACTTAGAGGAAGAAGAAAAGCTTTATACAATCAGTTGTGCTCTCCGCCCGGAAAGTCAGCAACAACCTGCCGACAGCGCTACTTTTAAACTCCGCATCTGAGGATAAATGTTTCTTTTTTCTTTTTCTCTGATGGATAAAATGGGAACAACCAGTGATGAAAAATGAGAAGGCTGGGAGTAAGAAAACAACTGAAACTTCATAGTTTTTTATGTATAGCTGGTTCGGTGAGTATTCATTATTCATTTTAAGTGTTTGTATAGTTATTTTGACTCTTTTCATATCATTTTTTTTTTATTCATTGTCAATTGCTCCACAGAAGCTGCAGGAAACCAGTAGTGAACCTGGAGCGCCTTAATGCAAGCCAGCATCATGTCCCCAGCCGTGCATCCTCATTGTGCGACGTGCCAAGTAATTATCACCAGAAAACAGGATTTTAACTTGCGTGGAGATTTGGATTATTTTTTATTGCTCCAAGTATTCTAGAAAAAATATCTCCTGAAAAAAAGCTTTAACATGAACACCTCGGAGTGCCACAACACCTCCTCCATTGTGACCAATGTTGACAAACTTTTAACAAGCGCCTTCATGTTTTTCGCTGGAGTAGTGGGGAACCTGCTGGCTCTCTTCATCCTCGGGGTGCACCGGAAGGAGCACCGCTCCAGGTCCTCGGTCTTCTGCATCCTGGTGACGGGTCTGGCCCTTACTGACCTGCTGGGAACCTGCCTCCTCAGCCCACCTGTGTTCACCTGCTACGCCCTCGACAAGTCGCTGATAAGCCTGGGTGGTGATGCGCTCTGCAACGTGTTTGGCGCAGCGGTCATCTTCTTTGCGCTGGCACCGACTCTCATACTGTGCGCCATGGCGCTGGAGCGCTGCTTGGCCATCAGCCACCCATACTTCTACTCAGTGCATATTCGGCGCAACCTTGCCAAATTCACCCTTTTCTTTATTTACATTTTCTCCCTGGCATTTTGCCTCCTACCATACAGCGGCTATGGGCAGTTCAGACAGTACTGCCCCGGGACGTGGTGTTTTGTTAAAATGGAAGCAGGCAAAGATGGCTTGGTTCTAGCCTTCTCTCTATCCTACTCTTCACTCATGGCGCTGCTGATCTTCATTGTGTTCGTCTGCAACGGCTCGGTGATCGTCAGCCTGTGCCAGATGCGCAGGAGCCACCTGAATCGCCGCGGATCCGTGGTGTCTGTGGCGCGGAAGAAAAGATTTAACCTGGCCTGGTTCGGGCGCGGGGAAGAGGAGATGGACCACCTGGTCCTGCTGGCTCTCATCACTGTCATCTTTGTGGTGTGCTCCCTGCCTCTCACCGTGAGTATTAAACATATCCATCTGTGTTCTAACCAGAGGCGTAGCCAGAAAATCTGAATAGGGGTGGCCAAAAGGCACCAGAACCTCAGGGTCAATCTACACTGACAAACTATCCTTTCCTGCAGCCTCTGCTAATAAATAGAGGCATGTATTTAACCTCTTAACATCCACCTCATTTTAGGTAATCATCACCTATTTTGCATACCCAAATGGAAAAGCGCCAAATTACATGTGCAATACATTATTTGAAAGCTAACCCCTTAAATTTGGGTATAAAAAAAAATTGGGTGACTGGAACGCAGACCAAACTGCATCAGTTCAAACATGACTCAAAGTTGTTGTTTTTTTATTCTCAGAATTGATAGGTATTTTTTGAACAGCAGTAATAAAGACATTCTTGAGAAAAGGCAGGTTGTATTGCATTATATTTGTTCTACATCATGTCAACCACAAATACAAAAAAATTCCACACCTCTAGCTATAACAGTTCCAAAGCTGTGGGGTATGGAACATTTGGTGTCAGCTTGGAGTGTCCCGCAATGGCTCCACCTGCTGGTAGAAATTTTACCGGTGGAATTTTATGCATTCTGAATTATTACCCCCACTTAAGGTCCAACAGGTCGCCGGCGACCTGGTTAGTTTTAAGAGGTTAAACATCTATGCTGTCTAAATTAAAGGTATATTGGACAAAATTCTTTCAGGTTTGAGTTCTGGGGCGAACATATTTTACATAGTAAAATACTTTTATCAATAATCTTTCTGCAAAAAATTATATTTAAGTCTACTGATATCCACATTTAATGAATTTTGAAGTTATTGTTAAAGTACTTATTTATCTCTGAAGACTCCTAGATGACTTTCAGAGGCATATAATTTTATCTTCACCCCAAATAATTCAAAATGTATTTCTGAAAAGGGCACAAATGCTGTATCTAACATCTTTAATGTTTGTATATTGATGTGCATAATTAACCACAGTGTTTCTGTTGTCCAGTAGTTAATATATGAAAAATGTAAATGTTTAATAAGTTTGAAGATTCCCCGTCATTCTCCCTGGTTCTAACGTAGAGCCTGATTTATTGCAGAATTGATGATTTTCAGTACCAGTACTACACTGCAAAAAATGTTAATCTAAGTAAGTCAGTTCTTCTTAAAATAAGTGTATTTTTCTGCAATTAAGCAGGTAAGACACTTTGTCAACGGCACCACACAATTTACATTTAGAATAAGAAAAAACAACAACAGTCTCTTATTTCAAGTGCATAATGTCTAATTATCTTATTTTAAAGGTAAAAATACTAATTCCATTGGCATATCATCTTATTTTCCATACTCAAATTATGGGTAAATACACTTATTTTAAGATATGTTTACTCATTTTCGGAATGTTTTTTGCAATGTATAGGTTAAGTAAATTAGAAGTGAGGGGGAAAACAGAAAAGATTTTTTTATTCTACGTGGTTTAAAACTTATTGTGTATTACAGTATTGTTTGAAAATCTTTAATGTGTTTGTTGCAAATTATATTCAATATGTGAACTTCAGCTGCTACATAGGGAAGTCTTCCTTGATCTCACCATATTTGTGATGTGCAATTCTACTCTGGGGTTAAACCTGATTCTTTTATGTAAAGATACATTTATAAAGAAAAGCTGAACAAGATGAAAATGGTCAATTGCTTTCACTTGTTTCAGAAAGTGAATTTGATTAATTTAACGCCTTTTATTTCCTGATATTTTAATAATTATGACTCACAGAGAATGAAATCCTCAAATCCAGTGTCTCATAGAACCAAAATTAGTTATAATATCGGAAACTAATGGTGTTAGTTTGTGATGAGTTAACTTACATTTAGAGTTTCAAGATTTCCTCACCCACCACCCTGAGACCTTGCCTCAGTCAGCAACACAGTCATCAGGCAGACTGCTGATGTCCACAGAAAAATCATCAACAGCCTCTTTAGGGAGGATAAACCACTAAAGGTTATGGCTGAGGAAGTTGGTTCATCACAGAGTGCTGTAACCAAGTATATTCATAGAAGATTAAGGAAAGGAAATCTAAAAGGTGTGATCTAAAAGGATTAATCATGAAAAGGGATAAAATCAGCCATGAGAAGATTGCCAAGCAAAATTAATTAATAATCAATAATACAGGGAAGCTTCCAGGGGGAGTAGACTGAGTCTTTGGCAGCAAATAATGAGTCCAAGATGCTAAAGGTCAGTGAAAGCAATGATTTTACAATGATTTTCACCCAATATCATGTAATGCTCTTCACAGCTATTGATTTTTTGAAGAAAAGGTTACTCTATTTGTGGAGAGGGGGGGCACTGTTATGACTAATAAATTGCTTTTATTTGTTTATTATTATTCACAAAAACAATACAGAAAACCAACTATTTTGCACAACATTGTTATGTTAGACAAATTACTGTATATCATAGTATCTAATTGAACTTTTGTAATGACGGTGTTCAGTTGATGATCCAGCAATCAGCAGCAGGCCAATAGACTCATGTAGACCTTTGGGAAAAATTAAGGGCTCACAGATGGATTAAAACCGTCTGTTTTCCCACCTGACTTGTTTGTTGTCAGGGTAGGCCAATCAATTTTCAGCTTGAAAATCCAGTAAATCAGAACACCTCTCTGTGATATCTGCTTCTGTAAATAGATCATTTCCATATTTGGGAAACATCCATTCATATTATAAGCTAACAATTCAGGGCCCCATCATGTTCTTTCCGATGCATTAGCCATGTTGATCACAAGTCACCATAACAGAATTAGAATATTTCTAAAAAGTCAACACCTTGGTTTGTTTAAACCAGGCGTCCAAATTGTCGTCCAAACAAGTTTAGACATGTCTGATCTCAAGATGAAAGAAATGAGTTGTATTGACAGTAGGTTTTGCTTTTGTAAGGGTTACAATGAGAGGAGATGGATATCACCTTCTGTCTTCCCTAAGGGAATCATCAGGTTTATATGAACGTTCAGTGGGCATGGTGACTGTTGTGGAATGTCTTTGTATGCACTGTTTAAGCCTCCTTAACGGTTGTGTTCTGTTCTTCTGGCTCAGCTTTGAGGTGTGTCTGATGTGTGAATTCGTCTTGAGCAGCTGTCTCTCTAGCCTCATACTTGTTCCTATTTTAGAGAAGTTTACCTAACCTGAAAACCCTGGAGGACTGGTCTAGCCCTGCCTCTCCCTCACGGTAGAGGGTTGCTTCCTGTCAGTTGAAATCTAAGACAAACTCTGTTCCACTAAACATTGCAAGGCTAACTAAATAAGGGCTTTAAAGTATGTGATAAATGCAGATTTTGTAATAAGGACTTGGTTCCTGTGGTATATGATTTCCATCTTCTTAGAAATAAAGTGCTTTTTTAAGCTATAAAAAGGGTCGTGTTCTCACCATTTAGTCATTTGCAGTCTGTCTGGATGCTTTCTGGTAACATGAGGGCCAAATATTTGACTCACCTGTGGTTCATGATGAAATATGACCCAAATCGTAGCTGAAAAAAAAAAAAAAAAACCTGGGGAAACACAACCATGACAAAGTGTTTTTCATGTCTGTCTCAGTAAGACTCAAGGAAACATCCGCTTTGCTGCTTACAGACATGCTGCATGTGTATTCTAGACAAGCAATGAGGCTGAGTGAAGTTGTTTCAGTTTCGAAAGAATCAGGATTGAAGATATCCAAAATATGATCTTATTTGTGCCTGATTTAGATTTCAAATGTATAGGAATAGGGTTTTAGGGTTAGAGTCACTGTCAGTCAAGATCACACTAAACTCTCCTTCTTTAAGAATGACAGATGTTTTTTTTTGTTTTTTTAAGGCTTTCACTTGGAAGAATTATGCCTCATTCTTTGCACAATGATTTTTATTAATCCACGCCTAAGGGTTTCCAAGCATTGTTTGCTTGTTTAACATGTAAAAACATATCAGTCATATTAAACTACAGGTTTTGACTTAGCTTATGCTTTTTTTGTTTAACTATGTTTTTACCCATTTAGCTGCAGACTTGCTGGTGTGCCTCAGACCATTGTCCTTCTGTACAATCTGAAGGCTTTTAAGCTTAATGCCATAAAATGATGGCCAAACATTTTCCTTCTAGGTTTTCTGATTGCAATGCTTTTTTGGTTTGAAAGTTATTAAATTCAGGAACTAGTATTTTAGCAGCTTTCTGGGTCACAGTAAATACAAATATGAAGAATATCTAAACAATAGTCTCTCTTACATTCAAAATATGATTGTAGATGGTAATAAAATGCTTAAATTCTTATTTATGACAGGCTTTTCATAGTAATTTGCCTGTTATTCACAGGCTGTGAATGTTATGAGTTGGCTCCACAATGTGCTGTCATATGCTACGAGAATAAAACATAAATATCTCTAAATTACATGTTGATTTGAGTCATGCAAAGTTCTTAAAATATTTAAAGAAATTATTAAATGAGCAATAACTGGTGCAGACTTAAATTTTCTATACATGCTGTTTGCTATCTTAATCACTTTAATCCTGTGGTGCTTTGCCTAGAGATGTTTTTACAGTTTTTTGTGTCTGTTTTTAAAGCTTTGTGGTTGTAACATTCATCATCCTGTGAAGCCTGATACGGCATGCATAAGCAACTGTAACCTTTTTCCCGACAGATGTGTGTCTGTGATTAACACTGGTTGGTTTGGCTCACAGCACAACAGATGCCAGAAAGGAAGGCAGAAAGAGGTCTGATTCAGTCTGCTGCACTGTTGTTAATGTGTTGCTCACATTTGATATATTCTGAAAAGATTTATTGTGGACATGCACAGGAAGGGAATGACTGACTGCATTTTTATTTCTTTTAGTTTTAGTGAGCATAAGAGGAAACCACAAAAAAAACATGGTGCTACCATATGTTCCCCATTATTCTTAAACTAGTTAAAGCAATGTTATGTAACACAATACACCTCAGAGAGCCAATGTTAGAATTATTTCAGTCTGAAGAATTGGATCTGTACCAGCAGTTTCGC